TTACTTTGACCTTACTTGAATAGTCTGTAATTAAAGCTAAATTTCTCATTGTGCTGCCTGGAGCACCTTCTTTATGCATTTAGATGTTTTTTGCCAGCTTTCTAAGTAAAATAACAGTTGGTGGTTCAAGTGCTGCTGGCATCCCATTCAACTTAAAAATAATAAACAGCCTCATCGTCTAATATACAGTAGTAGCAGCATCGAGTATGAAATAAATAATTTTTTTTATATCGTGTCTTTATATTATTTTACATAAGCATGTCATGGTAATTAATAATTTCATGTATAATTTATTTCATTTAATTTTTTTACCCATTTCTTGCCATGAAATGCTGTTATAAAACAACCAATATGTGTATATAGGTTGTTTTTATATATTGATTGTTATTGGTATTGTCACGGTTGCACTACTGAGTGGAGTGCGGAGCAAGGAACGGAGGGAGACGAGGAGTACATCAATCCAGAGAATTTTAATTATAACAAGGAAAACTCACATAGCACATGTAGACATAAACAATACCGGACGCTGAACTAAATACAGGGAACACTATTTAAACACATGACAAGACGAGGGGATGACGAGACACACCTGGGATCAATGGAAATAAACGGGGAACACCTGGAATTAAATCAACATAATCAGGACAGGAACAGGAAACTAACCAAATATGGGCATAAACACTGGGACACAGGGAGCACATGGGGAACAAAACACAACACAAGCCTGACAGGTATATATACACAATTATCACTCTTAATTATGTACACAATGTTACATCACATATACAAGTCTTTTTCATGACAAATAATCACCAGTCTGGGTTCAAATGCATTATCCTCAATCACCATTTCAAAACACTATAATGATCTTTAAATGAAATGCTCTTCAGTTAAATACTGAGTGGAAACATTTGTCTTTGTTTTGTTTTTTTTCTAATTGACAAAAGAAATGTGAGTAACACTTTACTTGAAGGGGTGTGCATAAGACTGACATGACACCTTCATAATCATGACATGACACATGTCATGAATACGAAGGAGGTTTTATGCATGTTTATGACAACTGTCATTAAGTGTCATTCGCTCAGTTATGTCATTTTTAATGCAAATATGACATTATTTGACCTAACTCTAACCTAACCCTACCCCTACCCTTACCCCTAACCATAGCCCATAACAAAGACATCTCAAACAATGTCATCTTTGCATTAAAAATTACATAACTGAGTGAATGACACTTAATGACAGTTGTCATAAACATGCATAAAAACCTTCATATTCATGACATGTCATGTCATGTGTTATATAGGTGTCATGTCATGATTATGAAGGTGTCATGTCAGTCTTATGCACACCCCTTCAAGTAAAGTTTAACCGAAATGTGTGTTTAATGTGTAGACGTCTGACTTGTGTATCCCTCTATTACTATTATTTTCATTGGAGTTTCAATCAATCACTGGCAGTGCCCTGAAACACACACGCACACACACACATTCCCACCTTCAATCACCCGTTCTGTGCCTGACCTGTGTCTCAGACTTGTAATTACAGCTCTCACCTGTCTGTAATCACAGGTAAAGCCCGTTGAATGTTTAGGGCGGTTGATGCTTGTTGTGAAACCAATGGGAGCAAAGCACTTACACTGCAGTTTAGACAATTTACTGCCTCTCAATGCACAGCAATCACAGTTGAGATATAGAGAACCAGTGAGATAAGGGTCATTGGCCAAGGAGAATTCACCTCCACCAACATTTCAGTTTTTCTGCATAAGTATTGTTTTTGTAGTTTTCTTTTTTACTTACCCGCCGCCTCTTCTTCCATTTCTCCCTGTTTAAGATTCCTGCCTTTCCTTTTTGACCACAGAATGTTTATCATTGCAAGGCACCAATCAATGCATCTTTCTTTGTGGCATTGTGATTGTCGTCATCAGTTCAACCGAATAACAACAGAGACAGTCAGACATATCTCTAATGGTAAATCTAACTCTTCGGCTGTCATTCTTAAGTCTGTCTTTGAGGGATGCTTTTGCTTCACATTTCTCATACTAGCAGTGATCAGACTTATGGAGCCAGTGCATCACTTCAATATTCCTGAGATATAAAACAAAAGAGTCTATATATCTGATGTATATCTCGGGTATATATACATACACATAATACAATATTTTGTGTCTGACTGTTGACACCTGAAAATTTATAAAAGTAATATTCATATTCATAATATTCATATGTTTTATATATTTTCTGTTGACATTGTGGTTGTGAGACAAACTATAAGTTCAGTTACTGTACCTTAAATGGAAATATATATATATAATTATGACACTTAAACCCATTATATGATGTGTAAAGTATTATCATATATTTTTTTATTAGGTTTAATAATTTGAAGCTATATTTAAGTATAGTAATTCTAATTAAATATATTTTATATATATATATTTTTTAAATACATGAAGTATTGGTTTTATTGTCTGAGAACAGGTATATTTACTGTAGATTTACACAGCCAGTGAAAATTACATGCATATTTACTATGGATGTAATTTGTATCGTTTTGATCAAATAAACTGTAAACATTCAGCTGATCATTTGTAATATCACATTGTAAAAGTTGTTGTTTTTAAAAAATAATGAAAGGTAAAACGGTAACACTTTAGTATAGGGAGCAATTCTCACTATTAACTACCTGCTTTTTAGCATGCCTAATATTAACATTTAGTATTTATAAAGCACATATTCTGCATGACCATATTCTACATCCCTAACCCTGCTCAATGCCTAAACTTAACAACTACTTTACTAACTATTAATAAGCAGCAAATTAGTAGTTTATTGAGCAAACGTCATAGTTAATGGATTTCTAGTATTGAGAATTGGACCTTAAAATAAAGTGTGACCCGGTAAAAATATCATACCAAAAAAAAATCACATTTTGTTGTATTTCTGAAGAATCTGTAATCTAGATCATGTAATCAGCTAGACAGTTAGGAACAAAGAAAATTGTAGTAGTAAAGCTATCTTCTGGAAAGCTCTTTGTTTACATTGACATAAATTTGAGCTAAGTTTAACCAAACTACGGATTTGGACTGAGCTTGATTTTCAATTTCTTGTACTCTTCTTTCCAACAGGTGGCAGTGTGACAAGTTCCCAGAGTTCTTTGGCTCTTCCTCCATCACTCTCCCATGTGGTCCAACCAAGTGATGCCCCTCAGGGTTTTGCGGGAGGAGTTGTCACTGCTTTAACGGTCCTCCAGCTTAACGGTATAGGACATCATCTCTCTAAATCAAAGCTTGACTTCATGTCCACAGAACTCAGGAGCTCTGCAGTTCTACAGCTCTGGAGAATTTATAAAAGTACATCATGTGGGATTTGCTGATAATTCCAGAAGAGGATTTGGCAGAGAGTTCCCTTATCTAGTTTTAGTGGCCATTTTTATTTATCTTCCTGATCACTTTTTTATTATCGCTTCATTCTAATGACAGCGTTGCCAAGATTAGTCTTTTCGTTCTGATCAACAGAGTATCACAGTGTTATGACATATGGAAATGTAGCATACAAAAGTCGTCTTCTGAGAAGACAATATTAGTCTTTTCATTACCTTGTTGAGTAAGACATAAATCTAGACATTTAATCTTTTAAGCCTGAAACATGAGAATGGCCAGTGAATTGCATATGGGTGATGCTGTTTTACATGTTTAATGTGCGATCTTGCACTACTGTAGCAGAAAACAACCTGATAGACCTTGAAATGTCCTGCCATTACGCTGAATGTTTTTACTAACTTTAACTATCCTGCTCCACAAGATTTTTCTAAACTCTTTCTCTGCAATGACAGTAGTTGGAAAAAAAAATCATATATTTGACATTACAAGATGCCCGTTATAGCATCCCTTGCAGCAATGCTGAGAATGCAACATGTATTTGCATTACATTATGAATTGCATTCTGACACATTTTAAAATGCTACGATGTGTGAAATCAAACTTGCATAGCTAGAAGCATTTGCGTTCAATTGGGTTGGTGGAGCAGTGGTTCAACACTGGTGGGTCGTGACCCAAAAATCAGATCTTTTCTAAATGGATAAACCGTATAATCATGCATCGTAAATATGGATTAATAATTAGACGAGTCTTTTGTTGATTACTTCACAGGCCATATAAATATAATACATAGTTATACAAAAATGATAAATGACACACACACATACACATACACACACACACACACACACACACACACACACACACATATATATATATATAAGCAACTAGTTAAGAGACCCTAAAGTAAAGTGTTACCATGTTACCATTTGTAAGGACATTTTTCACTTAATGTCCCATATAAAATCTGCATCCTGAAGCAAAGCCTGTTGAATGTAGAGTATAGTTCAGGCCTCAGGGTGCATGTCTATGTAACAATATCCATTCTGGTTTATCTGTACACTGAAGAGCAGGCTGCTTGTGACTGTGGCAGACATCAGTGCCACATAATGCCACTTCCTGCAAAGATAGCTGAGACCCAGCCAGTGAAAAATAACACAGTGGCTCCCACATGTCTTTGGGCCACGAGTGGGCAGTTACAGGACGGGGTGTGTGTATGTCAGCCTGATGAGATGGAGATAAAGAGAGTGCTTCATCATGTTCTTATTCATCAGAGAGGCCCTATTGTCTCCAATGCAATGTAGATCTTCCTCTCTCTCCCTCCCTCTCTCTCTCCCTCCCTCCCTCTCTCTCTCTCTCTCTCTCTCTCTCTCTCTGTTTGTTAAGTTCAGGTATTGGGTAGGATGTAGAATAAGACATTAATATGTGCTTAATTAGTACTAATAAATGGCTAATACATTTAGTATTATGCATATGTATATAAGCAACTAGTTAAGAGACCCTAAAGTAAAGTGTTACCATACGTTTATTTGTAAGGACATTTTTCACTTAATGTCCCATATAAAATCTGCATCCTGAAGCAAAGCCTGTTGAATGTAGAGTATAGTTCAGGCCTCAGGGTGCATGTCTATGTAACAATATCCATTCTGGTTTATCTGTACACTGAAGAGCAGGCTGCTTGTGACTGTGGCAGACATCAGTGCCACATAATGCCACTTCCTGCAAAGATAGCTGAGACCCAGCTAGTGAAAAATAACACAGTGGCTCCCACATGTCTTTGGGCCACGAGTGGGCAGTTACAGGACGGGGTGTGTGTATGTCAGCCTGATGAGATGGAGATAAAGAGAGTGCTTCATCATGCTCTTATTCATCAGAGAGGCCCTATTGTCTCCAATGCAATGTAGATCTTCCTCTCTCTCCCTCCCTCTCTCTCTCTCTCTCTCTCTCTCTCTCTCTCTCTCTCTCTCTCTCTGTAGGATGGGCTACAGTTGGTATTTAGGTCCACTCTATGAGAATGATGAAATCGAACCTAAATTCACTCTTTCTTTCACTCAACAGCCTGGCATGGTCTTGCCATGCTTCAGGCACATCGGTTTTATTAGTTTCTAGGTCTTTCCGGTGCAGTTTCAACATGTGAATTTCTTTGGATTCTTTCTTTCAGAGGCATCAGGCAGAGCGTGTGCAGCATTCCCGTGACCTGCGTGTGATTGAGGCCTATCGTGAGCGCTGTAAAACACAGGAGATCACCAACATGCTCTCTCAGGCCATCACTACCAAACACACTCTCTATGCCACGCTCGGAACGGCAGAGTTCTTCGAATTTGTGCTCAAGAATCCATTCAACGTTCCGCAGACTGTCACTATTGAATGTGATGACCCAGAGCTCAGGTGAGATATATTATGTCTTTGAGTGCAATACATCAGTGGTTGTCAAACTTTTCAAGTACTACCTTTGATCAAATATGAACATTTATATACCACCTAGACACATTGACATCTCTTTTCTCACAAGCTTAAAGGTAGTGTGAGCCATATAATGTCATAATTTGATTAATATTACAGAACATTATAGAACATTGACTGGCTTTTTTAGACCTGTGGAAGGATTGAAACAATACTCTGACTCGTCTTTCCAAATCTGTATGCTCTTTCTTTCTTATTTGGAACATAAAAGAAGGTATTTTGAAGAATAATTTTGCCCATACAATGCAAGTCAAAGGTGTCCAAAACAACACTGGGCAGAAACTTTCATTTCATAGACAAAATAAATAAATAATAGAAAAACTGAATGATCACAAAAGCAAAAAAAGTAATTTGTGTCTTCACTTTAAGAAAAGAAATTTGATTCATTGATTCTCAGTACAGTATGCAAATGCCCTAAGAAAACCACTTTAATGTTAATATGTACATACAGTAGTAAGCCTATACTTTATTCATGCACAGCAGGCACTGTGCCCATTCAAAGATCAAATAAAGCCTTTGCCTCTGGCATTACAGCCCTGAAAGAAATTATGCGTAGATCAATGTTTCGTTCACGTGTGAACAGCCTTGTCTGAAATGAACATCTGAATGAATGAGTTTTCCTCAGCGGGGCATTACTGGGGCCAAGAGCTTCCCAGGGGGTAGAAAAATAACACTGAATAAATAATCAATTCCCCCCCATTCAAGCTTATTTTAATTGCAGCGTGATGTAAAATATTTTTCCACCGGCCAGGTTTCCTGCATGAAGCTCACAATCCAGGATTATACCACACAAAATATGAGTTTTCTGCAGGGCATAGACTGAGTCCACACACTCCATCATGATGAACACAAGCCAAGAAAGTGAGAGAGAGAAGTTAGGAGGACGAGGTGGAATAAATTACGGCATTAACACCCCTGCATCTCTCAGCGGTTAATTAGGAAAGACATTAGTAGCCTAAACTCCACACACACATACACGCTGTGCTTTAGGATAAGATAAATATTCTCCACCGCCTCTCTCCAGGAAGTATGTTTGCATGGCAAACGTCTTCCCAACTTGCATTGTGTTGTGGCATAACACTGAAGCACTTTGTGATGTGTCATGGAGGCAACTGCTCACCCAGGAGCGGTGTGTTTGTCTGTGCGTGAACTCTGTGAGTCAGTCCAAAGCACTCTTGTATGCACAGAGCTGTGCCAGGGAAACAAATACCTGAGATCTGGAGTTTGCATTTGTACATTTGTGTTGAATTGATGCTTCTCTCTTCCAGTGCAAAGGATATGTCAGGCCTGTGTTTGTATTGCTGATGTATGCCACAAAGCCAACCTTATAAAGTCACCTCTCTCTTTCACTTTTACTGAAGAGATTGTTTCTAACCTGTATTCGCACATTATATATGGACAAGCTGAACCAACGGAGCGGCAGGTTAGAAGATATGCCAGATTTCAGCAGAGCTGCTCCATTCTTTCTGCCTAATTCATTTTATCCTCGCAGGTCAGGTCCCGCAGCTCATAATTTGTTTTCAGTCCTCTGAAGCAGTTTTTTAGTTATACTTCAGCTGAATTTTATTATCGCTCTCTCTCTTTAAAGGAACACTCCACTATTTTTGAAAATAGGCTCATTTTCCAACTCCCCTAGAGTTAAACAGTTGAGTTTTACCGTTTTCGAATCCCGGAGATCGGCTGAATGGATTCGAAAATGGTAAAACTCAACTGTTTAACTCTAGGGGAGTTGGAAAATTAGCCTATTTTCAAAAATAGTGGAGTGTTCCTTTAAGATTTTATGTATTTTGTGTGATTGTTCTGTATTGCCAATGCATCAATAGAAACACAAAAAGAAGGACGCATTAAATTGATCAAAAGTGACAGTAAATACTTTTATGTTGTTACAAAAATGCTTTTAAACTTTCTATTCATTAAAGATTCCTGAAAATATATATATCATGGTTTTGACAAAAATATTAAAATTCAGCTTTGCTATCATAGGAATAAATTACATGTTAAAATATATTCAAATAGAAATTGTTATAATATTTCACATATTACCGTTTTTACTGTATGTTTGATCAAATAAATGCAGCCTTGGTGAGCAAAAGAGACCTCTTTCAAAAATATGTATCTTACCAACCCCAAACAGTAGTGTACAGTTTAATTTTGATAATTTTTTTTACATTTAAGGCATAATTTGGCAAGTTAGTTCATATACTTTATATTTTGTCTAACAACAAAATTGTTCCAAAAGCCAAAGCTTCAGGGTGGATCACAATATTTGGGTGGAACAACGTGATTTAAGCTTGATGCATTCTGTAATCACTCCACTTCGGATTTTCCATTTACCATGAGAGAAAATATTTAAATAATATAAGCAATTTATAGTCACCCTCACCACAAGCCCTGTTTGTTTATGTCTACCTTGTTTTATTGCTAGATTTACTGTGAAGATATATTATGCCAGGTCATATTTCCCATTTAGACCTTATAACATTTCAATTAACTTTTCTGTCATTATCGTCCTCTTTTTGCATTACCATTTTAAAAGAGCTCCTTGCATATATGCTTCTATATGAAAGAAAGGGAAATGGGCTTTGCTTTTGTTCACGTAAGTATACTTTTGTGCCACCTGCCTGGCTCTGTTATTAAAAAGAGAATGTGATTGAATTTTCATTTTTGAGACTTGCTTTTACATCTACTGTAGTGTATACAGTACAAAAGAGTTTTTACACCTCTAAATTCTTTCTTTTTTTTTTCATTTATGGCGAATGATCCCTTCTCGGGCCCGGAGGTGCTGCCTTTGATGTTTCAAATGCCCTTTTCCTTCATATATTTGTGCATGAAATTTGTCTCTATGAAACAGAAAGTAATATTTCACACCCAGTGTTTGTTATCTTTAAACCGTACCCTCCCAGGAGTTTCAGTTCTGTGAGGGCTTATGTTTGACTGTATCATGCATACTCAAATACTCTTTTTCATTGCCAATAAAATACTGCCGGCAAGGCAAAGAAAGTCCTCAAGCTGTTCTTTTCGTCTCCTCTCTCTCTCTCTTTGCTGTTTTTCCTCTTTTTCTCTTTTTATCCCTCAGTGTAATCGTGAAAACTGAGGAGTGGAGATATTTCAAGGAGTTGACGAAGACTCTGACTCCTCTAGAGGAGGAGCTGTTTCACCTAAAGGAGAGTACACTGACTACACAGGTTTACCTGCGACCCAAAGATAGCGTCCATGTCCCCTTCAAGTACCAGACCTTCATCTGTGGTCACACCTTCCCTCTTCAGGTAAATCTAGGGGGAACTCTCTCAGACTTATACTTAGTTTTCATTTTAACAGTTTTTTGTTCTTGTATTTTCAAAATACTTTTCACCCCAAAAGTTCTATTGATAATAACACTAATAATAAATGCTGTATTGTTTTGAGTTTTTTGTTTTGTGGTTTTAAATGTACTTTTCACCCTAAAGTTTTAGTGATACTACCAATTGTTTAGTTTTTTGTTTGAACCCCCCCATGATTCTTTGATGAAGAGAAAGTTCAAAAGAACAGCATTTATCTGTTTTTTTTAACAATGTGACATTTGATCAATTTCATTTTTGTTTATTTATTTTTTTGTTTGTTTTGCTTTTTGTTTTGGTTTTAAAAGTAATTTTCACCTCAAAGATTTAGTGCCAATACTAATAATAAATATTGTATTTTATTTAGTTTGTCATTAAATGTACTTTTCACTACAATAGTACAACCACTAATAAATATTTCTATTTTGTTTTGTGTTGATGTTTTCCTTTTTTTTTTTTTTTTTTTTTTTTAATTTAAATAAAAATTTTTTTTTTTTTTTTTTTTGTTTTTTTTCTTTTTTTTTTTTTTTTTTTTTTTTTTTATAATTTAAATAAAAATTATTTATTTATTTATATTTTCACCACATTGATGTAAAAAGTCTAAACAGGCCCACTATGTAGACTCAAGTAAAGCTGGAAAACTATATGTGACCCTGGACCACAAAATCAGTCTTAAGTCGCTGGGGTATATTTGTAGCAATAGCCAAAAATACATTGTATGGGTCAATTGGGTTGATTTTTATTTTATGCCAAAAATTATTAGGATATTAAGTAAAGATCATGTTCCATGAAGATATTTTGTAAATGTCCTACTGTAAATATATTAAAACTTAATTTTTGATTAGTAATATGCATTGCTAAGAACATCATTTTGACAACTTTAAAGGCGATTTTCTCAATAGTTTAAGATTTTTTTTGCACCTTCAGATTCCAGATTTTCAAATAGTTGTATCTCGGCCAAATATTGTCCTATCCTAACAAACCATAAATCAATAGAAAGCTTATTTATTCAGCAAAAAGTAAAAAAAAAATTACCCTTATGACTGGTTTTGTGGTCCAGGGTCACATATTATCTGGAGAAAATGTGGACTATTTAATTGTTTTTGTGTGTTGTGTTGTATTGTAATTCAACCATGAACGATGTGTCATCACTGAGAAACTGCATTTGTTTCCTCATTTCCCTTTTGCACTGATGAGACTTGGATTAGCTCACATGTTTCCGGTTTAATTGGATTTGGGTTTGTTTATAGTCTGTAGTATTACAGCGGCACCCACAAGTGAAGGAGGGGAGTTTAAAATGACTCAAAGCATCAGCAATAATGAAATGGATTAAAAACAGCCTCATCCAGATGGTCTGAACAGACCTGTCCAAACAATGTTTCTCCATCCCTTAATGACATTATTTCAATGCGATTGTTCTCTCACTGAATGCTGCACTGTTCATGATGACTCTTCTGTCATACTGCAGGATACAAAAAGCTTAAAGACTTCAAGAAGTCCACAGATGGCTCAGAAACATCTGTCCAATACAATTCATGCCAAATCCATCAAGGTAAGAGCTTAGCACTCACTGTACTGCTGAGCACACACAGGAACTCAGACTCTTTCTATACAGCCTGATTAGTAGTTGTGCTGTCAGAGAAGTGGTCTGAACAATCCAGACTGAAAACATGACTTGATCCTCAACAGTAAAACTGAATGTAACTGATGCACACTTACAAGAACCAAACATAGGTTAAAATTTTTTTGTATTGCTGTATGTATTGTTTAGTCAAATATGTATTAAATGAGAGAAAGAGCTCTTGATCACAGCCCTTCCACTGACGGATCCCATCTATTGTTTTGACCTTTTAATTGTGTATTTGAGATCTGACCTGAAGAACCAAATACATTTAATTTCAGCCTGCCATTAATATTCAAATTGATTAATTTCAGCCTTTCAAATGAATGAAGTGTGTTAATGAGCAACATTGATCAACTGTCCTGTTGCCTCTAATTTATGTTTCATAATCAGGTCCACGCAGATTCTGCAAATTTACACAGAAATCGCCCAGCATTCTCAAATGTCTACACTTTTGCAGTCCCTTACATTAAATATTGTATTAAATATTTAATATTTGTTATTAAATATTTTGGTAAATGCAATAACAAGGTAATAAACAGTTTATTCTATTTTTTGTGGGAAAAAATGAAAGTATACAGTGTATACATTATTATATAATATAATATATTATATTGTATTTATTAAATATGAAAAAAACTATTTTAATCTTATTTATAACCTTTACATTTCATTGTATGCATATTTTACACAGTGAATGGTTGTGTAACTGGATTCGTCTGAAAGAAGAAAGTCATATACACCTAGGATGCTTCGAGGGTAAGTAAAACACAAGCTAATTGTCATTTTTGGATGAACTAACCCTTTAAGCTGTGTATTCTATGTGGGTTGATGTGCTCTTCTATGGCATTGTGGTTCATTGTGCCTTTGGGCTGTTCCTGCCATATGTAGCCAAGAGAGACTGATGCCTTGCAGTACTGCTGACACACTCACACACAGGACTCCCATATCATATTTAGGTCAGTTGGGGTCAAGCATTGCTGTGCCCAAACTGACATCACCTCCAGAGGAGTGTCAATGGGTTGTCTTGGGCTGTGAATCCGACAGCCAGCTCCACAGGATCTCACGCGAGAGAGGTTATGCACTCAGACTGCAGATGACTCACGGTACTTCATATCTCACTGCATACTGTCAGTGCTGTTCATTCACTGTGGAATGATTTCAGATAGGCTTGTCATTTAGAGGTAGACCTTGACCACCTCTGCTGAAAAGAGCAGCTTCGACCAATATACTGGTTCAAGGGTGGGCTTTACTGGTTTGGTGCTGAACTACAAAGAAATGTTGTTGCAAGTTGCAAGTTCAATTTTGTTAATCTCTTTTAAAAAAAGCAAAAATATGTTTACAGTAATGCACCTACAATGGAAGTCAATGGGGTAAGGCATTCCACCTAGACAAGCATTGTTTGAAAGTATATCCAACAAGACAAATAACTCTCATTGTGCAGAATACTTTACATAAGTGTATAAAAAATATAAGATGAACATTTCTGCTTTTAAACCTTTCAGGATATCTAGCCCCATAGACATTCATTGTAAGTGCATTACAGGGTTATGGTTAGCTAAAACTAAAAACATTATTGTTACTTGAAATAAAATAAATGTTAATTGAAAAAAAAAAAAAAAACGTATTATTAGTTTAGGCAACATTTCTCATTTTAATTTAGTTTAACTTGAAATACTAAAATAACTAAAACTAAAACTGAAAAATACAAATAATAAAACTATATAGGTATGTTTTAAAACAACAAAAACTAATAAAAATTACAATAACCTTAACTAAAATTAACATGAAAGCAGGACATATAAAAATGAAATTTAATTCAAAATATCACTGATCTACACACAATTCTGTTTTTACAAACAGTGGGACAAAGTCTGTGGTAATCGACAGCATGTCGCTGATGCGGTCGATATCTGTCAGTTTATCTGGTTGTGAACCCGGAACATTCCTTTTATTTTCTCAATTGATTTAGTTCTCCGGTTAGCATTTAGTAGGAAGGCCTTTCAAAATGTGTGTAGGTTGCAAGCGATCTGCTTGTCTTCCAGGTGCTGTTCCGCGGGGAAGACAGAAAGCCTCTGGCGATCTGCCAGGTGGATGTTGAACCCATGCCACATGTGGTGGACCAGGCCTTCCGTTTCTACCAGCCTGAACTCACCTTCCTAAAGAAGGCCATTCGCCTGCCTGCAGCCTGGGACGACACAGCAGGTGCTGCTCATTACAAACAACTCGGCCGCTGCGGACGCACATACATAAACCCACTCACACAAACATGCTTCAGTGTCTGCTATTAGTTCTGAACTAAAGACCCCATTTGTGCTCTGTCTCCTTTTGTACTTGCCCACAGATGGTTCTGCCACCCTCCATGTGCGCTGCAGCGACCCCAATGTCATCTGCCACACCACCAACCTGGTGAGCCAATCAGGAGTCACTCTTATAGCAGCCAGCCAATCAGAATGATGATGAGTTATTAATTAGTGTCTGAGACTTTGTGCTGACTCATTGTGGTGTCATGGCCTGCACACTTATTTGATTGACAATTGTTGACCATTCTTTTTATATTCGTTTTTCATACACATTTCTTAGTTTCTTTTTATGTTTAATAAAGTATTATTTTTTTATTTCATTTTATTAAAATATTTATTCTTAGATTTTTAATTACAGATTATTTTATATTTATTTTTCATAAAAGGCTATCATTACATACACTATAATATTCATTTAGTTTTCATAAAATATTCGGTTTTAGATTTTTCATTAAGGAGTTTTTTGTATTTATTTTGTTCATAAAAGGATATTATTTTTTCCAGTAGTCCATTAGTAACAAGTAAAATTAATCAGATATTCATTATTGATTAAACATTAAAGGGGTCATATGATGCTTTTTTAAAGATCATTATTTTGTGTATTTGGTGTAACAGAATATGTTGACATGCTTTAATGTTCAAAAAACACATTATTTTTCAAATACTGTACATTATTGTAGGTCCTCTATGCCCCGCCTCTCTCAAACGCTTAGTTTTCTACAAAGTCCCTCCTTCCGACAAGCGCAGTCTGCTCTGATTGGCCAGCTGACCCAGTGCATTGTGATTGGCCGAACACCACAAGCAC